ATTAAATCTCTACATATTATAATCTTAAAAGGGGTTTTTGTTGTTTTTAAAAAGGGGTACATTCAAATATTCTTGGTCATTTAAATTTCAAGATTATTAAAAAGAAAAAACTTTAAAAAGCCGTAGCAAAATTTGAAATTGGGGGGGCAATGTTATTGGTTTCCCTACTGAGGGGGAACCCTGAATATACTTTTAAATTCAGTTTAAAAGGGTTGCAGTTTAAAACTCTTTTTTTTTAAATGCTAAACTTTCACAGTTTTTGCTCCTGTATATTTGGGCTCCTCCTTTTTAAACAATTTAAATTCCCAAATCTTTTTCGCCCCCATCCCTAAGTAAAACGGGGGAAAAAAGCCAGCCCCGCTTCTGCAAATTCCTTTTGACCCAGTTTTCCGCCCCCTTCCTTGAACCCTGCCCTAAAAACCAACAGGGAAAAAAATACCCACCCCCCCTTTTCCCATTTGCCTTTTTTGTTGTCTCTTTTTTCTGTTTTCAGGTTTAATAATGGACCGCCCCCGGTATTTTGGGCCCTTTCTTCGTCAGCCCGGGAAATTTATCTTTTAAAACAGCCCCAATTTTGGTTTATTCGACATCCGGAAGTTTACCAACGTCAACGGGTCAAAACCCTTATAAATTTGAATCCGTTGTGGGTTTTCAAAACTTACATTTAAAGGGCCTGTCCCAAAACCCTTTAAACTTTTTTAATTTCAAAAACCTAGGGGATGAAAATGATTTGGTTTTTGGAAACCCCATGAGGGTTTACAAAAAAAACTTTTTCAGATGCCAATAATTAATTTAAACCCTGTGTAAATAAAACACATTTTGGGTTTTTTAAAAAAAAGTTTGATATAAGGGTTTTTTATAAAATTACATTTTTAAAACTTTGGTTTAAAAGAAAAATTTACATTAAATATCTGATTTAATCTTCTGCTTTTTAAAATTAAAAAAATTTTTTTCTAAATAAAAAAACCGTTTCTTTTTTATACAGCTGTTGTATTTTTTTGTTTTTTTTTATATTTTTTTGGCAAAATTGGGGCCCGGGCCCTTTTTCTATTTTCCCGAGGAATAGTCTGAGGGGGTTTTCCCCTCCGTGCTTTCTAGGGTTTCCTTTTAAAAAAAGGGGTTTAACGTAGGGGGCCCCTGTTTTCCCTAAACAAAATATACGATACATTTGGGTTGAAATCCCCTAGACATTCTATGGCATTTTTGTTTCGGGGATTTTGTTGTTATAAATTAAAAATAAAACACATGGCTGTACCCAACTCTTTTAAATTTTTTTAAACAAATTTTTAATTTATAATAAAAATAAAAACATAATTTAAAAGTTTTTCCCGAATCAAGGGGTTTATCAAAAATTGGGGCCAGGGTGGCACGTTGTCTCTTTTTCCCCCGAAAAAAAAATTTTTTTTGTTTAAAATCGGGGGATAAACATATTAAGTTTCCGAATCGGGGCAATTTATAAAATGTCACTTCCGACTGTTCGGTTTTGGGATTTTTAAAGTCATATAATACAAATAAATGATATACATGAAATTGTTAATATTATTTTTATTACAAATTTCGGGAAAATTTAATCTTTTATTCAGCCGGGGTTTAAGGGCCCGAAAATTCTAACAAAAATTTAAGGGGGTTTTTGCAATCATAAACGAAGCAAAACCCTTTTTTAAAATATTCATTTTATAAAAAATTTTAAAAAACTCTTTTAAACCTTTTTTTTTATTTAATGCCCGGTCATGACGGAAATTTTATGCCAAACCATAAAAAAAAATAAGTTAAACATATATGTTGGGCATTTATTATCACGTTTTTCCCTTTTTAAAGGGGACTATGTTGGAAAAAAAATTAATTAAATCAACAAATTTAATTAAAAATATTCCCCAACTTAGGTTCATAACTAAAATTTTAAAATCCATTTTAAAGGGAAAATGGGGGGTTTAAAGTGTAGAATAAGCCAACCATGATTATTTAAAAAAAATGTAACGATTTTTCAAAGTTTTAAATGCCCAAAACGGTCCCGTCTCTGTAAATTACTATTGTGGGGGGCCGGGAAATTGTTTATTTTTTTTAATTTTTTTATTTATTTATTATTTTTTTTTATTTTTTTATTTATTCTTTTAAATTTATTTATTCATTAAATTCATTCTTTCATTCTTTCCCATTCATTTATTATTAAATTCATTCTTTTTTCTTTTAAAAACTCTCAAAAAAAGACTCGTTAAAATTGATACCCTTGAAAAAACGTCAAAAATATTATATATCCCATTCTTTCAGTAGTTTCATTTGATCTGAAAATTCCTTTAAAATTTAAAACCCGTTGTTAATAGCCAAAGTCATAAAATCAAAAAATTGTTTAAAAAATAATTTCTGAATTCAGCAAGAAAATATCTCTGTTCAAGGGGCTATTTTTGAAAATTTTTCTTTTTTATATGTTTACATTTCTTTCGTCTTTCTCGAAAGGTTTTAAAGATTTTTTTTTTTTTTTGTTTCAATTAGGGAAAAAAATAAGATAGAAAAAAACCCACTGTTTGGAATCCAGCATTCTTTTACAAATAAAATTTTTGGAAAATTTAGACAAAGTTGATTTTTTTTTAAAATAAATGTCGACGGGGAAAACGTATTTTACTGTAAAGATTTTTAGGTAGTTGCATTATTTCTGTGAAGCCTCTCTCGCAAACTGGATGAATTGATTCCCCCTTGTCGACTTAGTATGTTTCATAACGTCAAATATTTGTTTGCATTTTCCTTTCGTATATGGTGAAAAAATAATTTCGTGTTGACATTGCCATTATGATGTCTCTACTGAGTCAAGGTTATTGTCTAGGATTTTAGTTCGGGTTTGTTTTTTGTTTGTTTTTATTTGTTTTTTTGGGCTTTTTTTTTTTTTTTGTTTCAATTAACTTTTTTTTTATTATGGTTTTCGCTTTTTCTATTTATTTTTCTTATTTTTGAGTAAGTGGAGTGGTTGTGTGTGTGAGTTAATGTTTTTACGCCATTTTTATCGTTTCACTACGGATATATGTTATCTACGGGAAGTTATTAGGTCTCCTCTTATCTAAAACGTTTTTTAGTCATAGCAACTTTTTTTTCCGTTTTGACCATCATGTCCATGAAGACGTAATGATAAATAACTTATTAATAAAGTTTTTAATCAATTGGCGATATTTTGATATTTTATTCATTGCATTAGAGCCTACTTTAATATTTTCAAAGTAAATTTTAATGCGACCTTTGTTAATGATTAGGGACTATATTTTAAGTGAAGTTATTTTTTTAGTAAAAAGTCAAATTTTCTTTTTCTTTTTTGATGTAATAGTGTTTATAAAGAGGATTTATTTTTCCTTAAATAAGATGATAACTACTGAAAAAAGTGTAAAAAAATCAAAATATCTGAAGATAATTAAATGTTTTGTTCAGATTGAATGCTTTACTTTTTTTTCACTTTTTTTTCCCCAGATATTTATACATCACAGCAGCAGGTGTCAAGTGATGTGTGGCAGCCGTAAAACGTTCCCTGTGCTTCACTTCATTGTTGTTATATTTTTCTGGTCCTTTGGACACTTTTAGTGTTGAGAATAGAGTATCGCTCAAACCGGTGCTAGGGGACGTGAGTGATGTTACACTTTTTCATTATCCCTCATTTACAGACTCAATTAAACCGAGTCTGCAGTTTTCATGTAATTTTACTGTTTTTACTTCTTCCAACTGATCACTTTCTCCAGATATTGCTAACTTGATACTGCTGAAAAATTTTCCCCCACATTTTAAAAACCCCCTGACACGTTTTCCCATTTTTAAATTTCCAGAATAATGCCGTTTTTTTTTTAAACTGAAAGCAACATTACATTTTTTTATTTAAAAAACACATATAAAAATATGAAAAATCGCATTAAACCCCAAAAATTATTTTAACCTCATTTTGGGAATAAATTTATTAAATTTTCAGGATTTTTAAATGAAATTTTTTTTAAATTCATAAACAGTAATATTATTTTCCAAAACCCTTATGATCGTTTTCCTAAAAGGTTGAACTCAGAAATTTCCCCCTATTAAACAATTTTTAAATGAAAAATAAAAAAAATAATTGCTGCATTCAATGTCCAAATTTTACTTGTAGGGTACACCGGGTTTTACAAAAAATTTCCGGAAAAGGTGATCCCAAAAAACAAACTGCAATCAACATCCAGTTTTTAGACCTGAAAAAAAAGGATTAACATATAAATTTAATGACAGTTGAATGACCTCAACCTAATCACAGTATAACCACCCTAATTACAGCAAAACCATCTTAATAACCGCATAACCTCCCTAATCACAGCATTACCATGCATCCTAATAACAGCATTATTATCCGAATTACAGCATAACTATCCTTATCACAGCATAACTATCCTAATTACAGCAAACCACTCTAATAACAGCATAACAATCCTAATCAAAACATAACCAACCTAATCACAGCATAACCATCCTAATAACAGCATAACCCTCCTAATCAGAGCATAACCACCCTAATCAAAACATAACCATCCTAATAACAGCAAAATCACCCTAATCACAACATATACTGCAGTAACCACCCTTATCGCAGCATAACCACCCTAATCGCAGCATAACCACCCTAATCACAGCATATCCACCCAAATCACAGCATAACCACCCTAATCATAGCATTAACACCCTAATCACAGCATAACCACCCTAATCACAGCATAACCACACTAATCACAGTATTACCACCCTAATCACAGCATAACCACCCTGATCATAGTATAACCACCCTAATCACAGCATAACCACCATAATCACAGCATATAACCACCCTAATCACAGCATATAACCACCCTTATCACAGTATAACCACCCTTATCACAGCATTACCACCCTAATCACAGTATAGCAACAAGAGTTTAAGTATTAAAATTTAAAAGAAGTGTACTATTGGAGCAAAGTATATCATTTCATTTATGAGGACTTGAATGAAGTTTAGGGGAGACGCTACCTTGAGCTGCTGAACAGAGCTGCATCAAAGTCGGGTCGCAACCAGCCCAGAGTTCAGTCTCGTCACTTCTGTCATCGCAGTCAGGAACGCAGTCACACTTGAATGCTTCGTCTATGCACGTGACTGAACCTGAGGCACACGATAGCCAGCCAACGGGACAAACCTAGAATGTACGAACTTTTGAAAATATGTCGCCATCTTAAATCTACCGACATTGTCATTATAGATTAACGTTTAAGGGAAGAAAAAGTTTTAATATCTACTATATCTGCTTAACATAGGCGTAAGACAATATTCAAATAATATACGAATTACTGTAAATGATGTTTCTCGCGGTAATAAACCGTTCACACACTTACGTTAACGTAATTTGCTCCCCGGCTTGACGATCCAGTTCCGTTTCACGACCCGGACGCCGGACATGCAGTAACTGTACACTGTTCAACTACCATAGTATCTCCAGTGCACACTCTTCCTCCATTACTTGGGGCAGGGTTGTCACAGTTCCTCGTTCTTACCGAATGTCCGGTTCCGCATGTAGCACTGCACGGGGCAGCAACTGACCATGCGCCCCAGTTTCCATCGACTGGTACTGTTTTCGAAAAAGAAATACAAAATGTTACATCAAATCACTTCACTCCACAAAAATCGGACAGAACAATGTTCATTCAATAAAAGAAACAGTTACATATTTAGAAAATATTTCATCACTTGTTCCTATTCGAGGTATGCATTTAAGTCAAGTGGAAACGTGGTGTTAAAGACTGCCTTCTAAACAATACATGTATATGCGTATAGTTATATTCATAAGGCAAACTGATTAAATGATGTTAAACTCACATACCTGGACATGAACCGGCTCCTGTACAAACATTTTCATCAAAAGAGTCACCGACACAAGGTTGCAGGGTCATCGCAGGCTCGATACCGGCGCTGTCTTCCTGTGCCACACGTCACTGAACAACCCTGCCATGCCTCCCACTGTCCCCACTGTCCGTCCATAGGAGAGCCGATCACTGTAATATAATGTTACTAATAAAATAACGATTGTAATGTATTCCAATTACTCTATCTAATGTTTGTAAAAAGAAGCATTTAGAAATTGTACCCTAACTTATTATAAGAGATAAACAATATAGAACTATCCGTAAGTAACGCTATGTAAAATAGAGAAAAACAGAGTCCACGAAAAACGTCCTAACTCCTCCTAACAGTGTAAATGAAATCTCGAACTTCGGCTGACAAACACGTAGACAAAGCATTTAAATATGATTCTTTATAATTTATTTTCTACATACAAGTGTAACATAAGAATAACTATTACAGATTGTTAAGCCTGATAAAACTTACAGTAGTCACAGTTTCTGGCGGTATATTGGGGGAAACACGTGCATCTATATGCATTTTGTAAATTTGTGCACGTGCCATTGACGCACGGGCTACTGAGGCATTCGTCAATATCTACAAACAAATGATGAATATCAAATGCAAATTGATAAATGTTTAGAAACAATTGTTTTTAAAAGAATCACAAAGCTTCTTAAATTGATAAAAAGCTCCCTGCAGACAGGATAAAAAGGTGGATATAGATATGAAGATAATGTGTAAAATGCAAAATCACGTGAAAAATATATAAAATATTTACATATAATGTATATGTAATTAGCGATAGACTAGTATGTATATTTTATAGAAGAAAGTACACACGATGCTCTGTAACACCGCAAAACGTCCGTACCGCAAAACGTACGTATACGGACGTTTTGCGGCGCATATCGTCCACATTTTTCTGAGGTACATTTTGCGGCAAAAAGGCATTGTCCTGCCGCATAACGTCCATATTTTAAAGTTTATATAATTTTCGTATATTTTGACCAGTTATTATCATGTGTTATTGTGTGTTAATTTTACCCGAGTATGCGCCTGTCTGTCTGTCCGTCCAAACTTAGCTTGTTACCACTCTAGCATCCACATACCCTAAGCAATATGGCCAGAGTTATTTGTCCTTGAATTACAATATATGTTATATTTCACATTGTTACCACTCCAACGCTTTCATTTCTTCTTCAATCTTGACAATTTTCAAGAGAATATCTATGACCATAAAATCTCAACAAAGTTAGATTATAGGTTAAATCTAACAAAAAAACAAACAAAAAAACGCGCTATATTTCACCTTGTTAGTGCTTTCGTTTCTTCTCCATTCTTAAATTTTTTTATACAGGATATGTATAACAAGAAGGTCTCGATCAAGTTCATTTATGAGCTAAGAGGATTTTCCCATCCCCACCCCCGCTCCCCGCGACAAAAGCTCTCTTGCTCAATTATGACTAGGCGACTTAAAGGCCCCATCTCCATGACAATATAGCTCTCTCGCTCAAATATGACTACGCTGTCAAAAGCCCCCATCCATCCCCCGTAAAAATGAACGGTAGAACCAAACCTCCATAGTCAACAAGAACACAAAAAATCATTCCCACTTCTTGATGCAATTATATGAAAAGCTATTGTCAAAAGCAAAGCTTAATTTTAATATTTTTTGTCATTCACTCAGTCCAATCCCCGGTTCGTCCGTCCGTATAGCCGTCCTTTTCTGTATGTCTATAAGATTACATTTATTTCAATATCATCGTTTTTATATCTCTGCTGCTGCTGCTGCTGCTGCTTGGTTCCATTCCATAAAAAAATCTATTCGAAAAACATCCTCGGCTTAAGCATATTTCTTTTTTTTAAATAAAAAAAAGTCAGAATTATATAGGATCACAAAAATATTGCACTTTAATGTTTATTTCGTCATATCTTTACCTGAAACAATATGAAAGTGACAGAACCAATAAAAGTAACGTTTATAATGAATATATTTTAATACAGAAAATATGGACGATATGCGACGCAAATACACACTCCCGCCGCAAAACGTACCAAGTACGATATGCACCGCAAAACGTCCACATGTGTACGATATGCGACGCAAAACGTCCACACGCGTACGTTTTGCGGTACGGACGTTTTGCGGTGTTACACCCAAAACCAATTTAACTGGCAGTGTAAGTACATTCAACTCCTTACCCTGATCACAGTCATACCCTTGCCAACCAGGGGTACAATCGCACGTGTACTCATTTAACAAATTGTTGCACGCGGCACCATTATGGCACGGGTTGCTCGCACATTCGTCAATATCTACACGAAGATGAAGAAACAGAAAAAATGTTCAATTAATAGAAGCGTACAATATTGTATATACTAATGTGGTCTGCGTCAATTATGTTCCACAAAAGGTATATTTGCACCTGTTTAGTTAGTTATTCAATACATGACTAAGTTGCTTTTAATAAAAAATAAAATAAAATAATAATAACATTAACTCAATTCATATAACCAATCGTTAGCTGTTAAATCACTACATTATGCTTTGCATTAACTAAGAAACAATGGAACGCCAATATGCCAAGCATCGAATGCAAATTCTAATATAAGTAAGTGCAGCTAGCATCCAGATTCAGGCTAATTTTTTTTTTTTGAAAACTTTGAAAATGTATTTGAATGTGTAATATTGTGAATTAATCAAAATGGAGCAATTTACACATAATTAATAGCTTTTACAAACCACGTAAATTGCCAAAAGTGGTCAAAATATGCATAAAAAGCCTTTACTGCGTAAGTAGCGCAGTAGAAATATAGTTATAAAAATAAATATTGAAAAATCAGTCATATATCGTACATAATATGTAAAATATTACTTGAATCTTGACACTGTTTACTTTTCCTTACATTTTAGTACATTTTTCTCAAGTTTGATTTTATTGAACTATTTTGACTTATCTGGAGGCATGTAGTTTAAAATGTATAAACTGAAGCTCACCAAATGTACCACGTAATACAAAACATTGGTTTATAAAACAAACTGAATGAACAGGAATAATATTTACCCGTGTCACAGTTAACACCTTGCCATCCAGGCACACATTCGCACTCGTAGTTGTTCTGGTTATTTAGACACGTAGCACCATTCTGGCACGGATTGCTCGCGCATTCGTCGATGTCTAAAATAGAAATTACACTGTCCCTGGTTATTTTGGATAATACAAAACATGGAATGTCTGTCTAATAATTTAGATACAATGTATTCGTATCACTGGCTGACATCATTGAAATTGCTTTGCATCTTCATATTATTTATGTAGGGCTATTCTTTATAATTGTTATCTTCAATAAATATGTCAAATACTAAGTTCTGTGATAAAGACAGCGTTTATAATAATTCAAATAATTTACCTATATCACAATTAGTTCCTTGCCAACCTCCGGTACATGTGCACGTGTAACTGTTCTGTAAGTTGTTACACGTAGCTCCATTCTGACACGGGTCCCTCAAACATTCGTTGATATCTGAAATACATGAAAAACGTCAAATTATGCGCCGAAATATACACCAGTTCGAATGTTTCTCGTCAATATACAATCTACGTCAAATTGTAAGGCATGTTCAACCGCACACTTTGCTATTTAATGAAATTAAACATGTCTAGTATAGCTCCCTTATTTTAGAATCAAATAGTGACTAAGCTTTCGGTTTCGTAATAAACGTGTTTCAAAACGTCGTATGACATCAAATAGATAATTATCTTAAGCGCCAGATAAGTTACTTCCCTGCTTTAATTACTTAGAATGTTTTCGTTATATATCTTTATGAACATATAAAATGGAGATTATTCTTCACATTGAGTGAATATCATATGCTTGTAGTAAAGCCCATGTCGTATAATAGGCTTGCAACACACCTAGAGCCGTAAATCAAGCTTTTAGCAAGGATCGAGTCGTATAAAAGGCATATAGCACCGTTTGAGTCGTATAACGAACTTGTAGCACTGCTCCAGTCGTATATCAGGCGTATGACACGAATCGAGTCGTATAATAGAAACGAATGGACTGAAGATGCTCAGCTATATAATTAAAATCAAACATGCATTATAACTAATGCATTTTAAATATTTTGTCAAAATTGGAATTAAAGTAGATTCTAAATAACAAAACGAATATACAAATAAACATAACTATTATAAAAAATAATTCATATTTTTCAACATGATAAATACTGTTTTGAGTAATTAAATGGTAATTCATATCAAACCTTGATCACAATTGTACCCTTGCCAACCACCAGCGCACGTGCACGAATATTGATTCCGTCCATTGTGACAAGTGGCACCATTCTTGCACGGGTTACTCGCGCATTCATTTACATCTAAAATTAAAGTCTTAATGTCATAATTAACATTCGTTTCATAGATTGATATCAAGAATAATAATTTTTGTCAAGATAAATCGTTCATGCATGTACTGGTATATCACAGGTTTATGTTTCTTGTTGAGGAAAAGAAAACAAATATGAAATGCGCATTCCTGAAACCATTATTATAAAATAAAGAATTCAAAAGTGTTGTCGCATATTTTTACTAAGCACAAATGTGTTGTCAAATTAATAAAATTGAATTCAGAGCAAACAAATTACCTGTGTTGCAATCAGCACCCGTCCATCCTGCAGTACACGCGCACGTGAAACGGTTCTGGCCATTTGTACACGGTGCACCATTCTTGCACGGGCTGCTCGCACATTCATCAATATCTAAATTAAATATAAATTATAATTTATCAGTCGCATTTATCAAATGATACCAATTATTTCATTCATAAACTCGTTTTTGCAACTGCAAATTAATTTTACATGAATTACCCAGTGCTGGTGTCGTCATATTAGGAAATTTGGCGGTAACCCGACGAAAAGAGCTCGGTGCCTTTAGAAATTGAGAGGCAGAAACTCGACAAGATTTGAAAACATAATACATCAAGATCATTCAAAAGAAATAGTTCTTATTCAAGATTATTCAAGATTAAGCATGGAAATTTAGTGTCACTACACGGAAAATAATGTAGTCGACTGTTTTTGGAGACTGGCAATTATTTTACATTTTCATATACGCACTCATTTATTCTATCAAAATCATAGAATATGGCCTCTTACTATATATACAATAAGTAAGTGAATTCTCGACGCCTCTGATACCGACCTCAGAGAATAGCGGTTTTTTTAAATCATACATTTCCCAGGTAGAATACAAGAGCTGTCGGTTCACAAAAGAGCCAATTGTTTTTTTTTTTCAAATCCAGGTTACAGTTAAAGGCATTGGAGAGAGTCCTATTATGCATACAATTTCAACATGTTTCAAAGCCAGATGACAATGGAATATAAAAATATCTTAGGTGGTAAATTTTATAAGTCGCAAAATGGGAATAATTCTGTCAAAAAGCTTGATTGAGTTACCTCCTCCTGTTTACAGGTTTGGGACATGGTGGTGAGCAAAAGTGTGCAAAGTTTCATAGTCATATGCTAATGAACTTTGAAAATACTTGGGGCTGTACGCAAATTTTAACTTAACGTAAATTCTAAGTCGAAAAGGGGCATAATTATGTCAAAATCCTTGATAGAGTCACCTCCATCTGTCTACAGGCTTCCGGCATGATGCTGCACAAGTTTGCAAAGTTTTAAAGTCATATGTCAATGTACTTTGAAAATATTTGAGGTGGTACACAAACTTTAACATACTTGGTTATGCCGACGCTTCGTGACTAGGATAGCTCAACTTATTCTTATCGAATAGTCGAGCTAAGAATGGATCATAAATCCTAAAGTTTTTAGTTATTGTACATAAACATTTTAAATTCAAAACTAAAAACTATCATCTAAAGTGTTTATGAATTTAAAGCTGTGTGCATTTAATTAAATTAATGTGTTTTAGTGATTTTCAGTATTGCTTACGGCAAGTCATAAATCGTTAACAAAAAAATGTGAAAAATAATAATGTTTCGATGAAAAGCCTAAAGACCAACCTCTTTCACAGTGTGTCCCAGTCCAGCCACCGGCGCATTCGCACGTGTACCTGTTCTGTTGATTGAGACACGTGGCCCCATTTTGGCACGGATTACTGGCGCATTCGTTTATATCTATGAAAGCAATGAATACCGTCAGTGAGTTGATTTTAAATAAGAGCTTATCTTACGAAAAGAATTCGGGGAGGGAAGACAATTAAGATACGTAAATATCGAATCTCACTTTTTGTATTCAAATGTTCCTTTTTTATTTTTTATTTCATTGTGTTAACTTAAGACAACGTTTGAATAACTTCAACTAAAATCATTACCTTGATCACAGTTTGTTCCCTGCCAGCCGGCAGCGCACGTGCATGTGTACCGATTCCTTCCGTTTGCGCATGAGGCACCATTTTTACATGGGTTACTCGCACATTCGTTAACATCTGAAACATAAATCGATAAATGTTTCTTAATTGATTACTTATGCAAGAAGCATAGACAAAATACAATCACATTTTCGATGACGTGGTTACTTGTTATGTCCATATAAGTTTACTATTTCAATTATTACTAGAATTTAATGCTAATAATCAATATTCTAGGAAACATTCCTTATTATTTTATACTACCTCACACTGTTCACGGAACCCATGTTATATATACCTTGGTCACAATTGATCCCTTGCCATCCGCCAGTGCATGTGCAGGTGTAACGGTTTTGAAGATTATTGCACGTGGCACCATTCTTACACGGGCTACTTGAACATTCATTGATATCTGAAACAGATATAGTTAAATAAATATTGCATAATCAAAGCTCTTTTATTGAAATGTATCTCTCTATAAAAGTTTGGAGTAGTGTCTACAACTTAACACACATAAACAATTGATGCTTTTGGTACGATGATTTTTCAAATTTTTGTTTTGTGATGATAATATTCCAAAAACTACGAAGTCCGAGAACTACTTTCTGATTCAATGACAGTTGCGAATGTGTATCCGTGTGAATTTTTTTTTTTTTGGGAACAAAGCAATACATGTGTTCTATTAAGTGACGTAATCGTGACACCAGCAGAGATTGAATCAATACCACTAGCATTTCAATTCATAGTAGATTTACAAAAAGAGAAAAACGAATCCCTAAAGAACGTCCAAAACCGACAAAAACGAAAATGTTGCAGGCTCGGTTTGATGGACGGTAATGGTAAGTGCAAGTTACCGTTCACGCCCCTAGCACCTGCTTAGGCAGAATTCAAAATGGTGAAATGGTGAATTAAGAAACATCTGCAGATGTCACTAATTTCAGATATCTGAAATAAAACGTACCGCCACATGTTGGCTGACTTCCGCTCCACGCGCCATTGCTACATGTCCTTGACGCACTTCCGCTGGTGATCGTGTAACCTGCGTTACAACTGTACGTTACTCTACTTCCGTCAGTTGTTCCAGTATAACTTCGTGAACCATACGAAATGGACCCAGGTGTTGGACATGGTGGCACTATTGTTTTGAACAAAAACACAATTCATAAAACATTTTAAGTAGATAAATCTTTAAATAAATATTTATTTATTTATTAATTTATTTATTTTGTTTTATATTATTTCATGTACCAGTTGCATATTCAATAACAAAGGATGGCAAAACAACACCAGCCATGCGTCGCGACCATTTATCACATTGTTATTGATATGTCTTGTAAATATAAAGTAACGAAATGACGTCATACCAGGGTTTGTAAATACGAAATACCCGTCGCTACCAAAGCCGAAACTGAATCGTACACCATGCATACTTGGAAAATAGCTGCACCAATTCATGATTCTGCTTGAGCCAACTGAATTGCCCTTCCCGACCTGCAAGAAAATTTTAATTCATAAATTAACAAAGTGTAAAATACCCAATGTTAAAATTAGTCCCTTATTTTGCTACGTTATAGCGTAACCTCAATTTATAGCATTTTTTCAAACTTAGCCAAGGATTATAAAAATTCAAACAGATTTTAAGGCGTTGTTCTAGACCTACGCTTCGCAGTACAGCAAACAAAGTTCACGTGACCATGAAAACAATAAAAAAAACCTTGTAACATCCGTACCCCAGGAGATCAAAACCAGCGGTAAGTGCTTGAACTAACTGAACCCTTGAAAAACAGAAAGGAAATGTCCAAAATATTTTATCTAACCCAATAGTATACCATAGCATTCCAATGTATGTAATATAATCGATTGATTTGAATCGCAAAAAATCGTTCGTAGTAAAATGAAAATAAAAAAATTACGGAAGTTGTATCGCACTCTGTAGTTCCTTGCTGACTATTTACTGATCACAGATTGGCTGTTACCCCACCCACCAATAACAATTTCAATAACATTGGTTCTGTAATTGTTACGGTCGTTCTGTAGCAACACGTGCGCGTCATTTCTACCTGTAAAATAAATCCGTAGTGTTTTAACAACAGTTCTTTGCCTTGAATATACTTTAAGCTTTGTTCAGTTCAAAATAATGAAAAAGTATACAATATACTATATTGGTGAATGTTAATACTAAGTCGAAAGCTTTATAATAATAAAATAAATGCAAACACTAATATGGTTCGTGTTTACTAATGAGTATTTACTAAACAGCTTACCTATACTAAATATGTAATAGTTTACGGTTGTGAATTTTAAAATAAACTGTATTTCACGCACTTTGTTTTGGAAAGGAAAAAAATAAAGTAATTATTTTTATGCGTGCACAATAGTAAACTGACAGACATATACATACAATTATGAATTTGCGCAGATATTAGTCATTGCGGTTTACAAACTATCCAAAAGAAGAAAAAAAAGCCGTCACCGTGTTAGAATTTTCTTAATTGAATTATACGGACAATTTGTCATTTATTATAATACAATTTTATTTCCAAGGTCATGTTTCAGAATATGTAAAGGGTACACTCAAAAAACGGCTTAATATGCTGGCTCACCTTTGACCTGAAATGTAAGGGGATGTTAACTGAGCTGATCCGGATTCCGTCGGCATACGGATCATGGCGAACTGTAGTCGTAAGCATTTGGGCAGTAGTACGTCACACCTACGAAAGAAAAAATGTAATTTTACGACACAGCACGATTTTTGTTATAAAAAATGCTGGTAATATTTTTTTTCTATTTTTCCATACTTCTTTCTTTCTTTCTTTATTTATTTATTAACATTTATTTATTTATTTATTCTATTTATTTATTTTTGGTTGGGTTTTAAGTCGCACCCGACACTATAGGTCCTACGACTTCTCTACCGACAAAAACACAACTCTGGTGACCTCATTGTATTTTGTAGTCACGACCGGGCACCTGAACTTTATTTTCTTTTACAATTTGTTGATATTTTCTAAAGTATATGAGAACAGATAAAAAAGAATTAAGAAAATGTTTTCCAGAAATTTAAGAAATAATTTATGAATCTAAGTATGAAAATTGTGTACAAGTCTTAAAGAAATCACTTATGAAAGTAAGTCTCTTTATAAGTATGTTTCAGCTAAGATGTCACTTTTATGAGAGGACACTATTTTGATTAACTATGTTACATTTGAAAAGGAATAATCACATATGAAATATAAGAATTTATTACCTGTACATGGTGTCAGGTATAATCCGAGAATCAGCAGGGTCAGCCGGAAACTCACACAATTCATTGCGCCGGAGTCAAACTGACACGCCTGTGATAAGAATCAACTTTCTTAATTAAGCTGTCCAAAATATTTCTCCGGTAAACACTGCTTATTTTCAAAACATATGAGCCGCGTCATGATAAAACCAATATAATGGGTTTGCGACCAGCATTGATCCAGACCAGCCTGCGCAGTCTGATCAGGATTCATGCTGTTCGCTATCAGTTTCTTTACTTGTTATACGGGTCTGTAAGCGAACAGCATGGATCCTGATCAGACTGCGCGGATGCGCAGGCTGGTCTGGATCCATGCTGGTCGCAAACCCATGATGTTGGTTTTGTCGTGACGCGGCTCATATACCTTCAACACGTGAGTAAGATTAGATAATTTAATACAATGAATTTCTAATTTTGATTTTCTACCTTGTCGTCATAGAAAAGAAAATCATACATTTAAACAATTTCTACAATGAACATAACAAAACTTAACACTGATTTGATAGAAAAAAAAGAGATCAAAAACGATTTTTGTTTATATTTTAAGCCAACGCATTTGAATTTTATTCAAAATTGCCAGTCATTTTCTTAAAATCCTGCATTCAATGCTTGATTATAAATATAAATATCATAATCCTTTTAATTTATATTAAACTGTATCATTTTAAGTCTAATCACGATTTTGATTTTCAACATTTCTTTTTTGTCAATTATATATAATAATAAATATATTACCAGAAGATATGCAACTTCGTGCCCTCCTTGGTCGGTAGCTGGAATAGAATTGAAACGGATTTGTTTTTTAACTAAACCAGTTTTAAGGACAATGTGTCAGTTATGTAAATGGATTAGCATAGTTACTTTCCAATAGTCTAGAAGCTATTTCAGGTACAACAACTTTTAAATCACACAAATAAAGGTACAACTAAAGATCAATTTCACAAAATTAAATATTAAGTCTTTATTTCATATAACCTCCATTATACAACTGTTTTATTAAATTTGACAGTTTAACTGTAAATGTCCTGGCTGTTTAAAGTCTTTTTTAAAGATAATTTGAATTATATTTTCATTTTGCTAAGTTAAACTTTTTTTTGTTCCACCTCTTAAAAAATATAAATCAAATAAACGGTATTTTATATTTGCATGTTAACTGTAATGATCTTGGACAAGCCGGCTGAAAAACAGTGCAGCCTTGTAACACCGCACTTTGGGGTCAAACGCACTTTGGGGTCCGACCCCAAAGTGCGTTAAACTTCGCACCGCACTTTGGGGTCAAACGCACTTTGGGGTTGAAATCGAGAAATTGACCCCAAAGTGCGTTAATATGCTACATATCAACGCACTTTGGGTTCCAGAGGTCTAAAGGTGTAATCTGAGTTCTGCTTAAATACTGAGCACTGACTTATTTTCGATCTGCGACATTGAAATATTTGAGGTGGAGTTCAAGATGGCGGTCAATACTTTGATGATGCTTAAGTGAAGAAGTTTCATTAATTTTACCACTTGAAATAATCCAAAATTGTGTTCATATAACAAAATTACGGTGTCATAAAAGTGACATTTGCATTTTTTTTATTTAAGTTTTGCATACATATTTTTATTTAAGTTTTGCATACATGTTTTTTTTTCAGTTTTCATTCATTTTTTTAATTTTTTTTTTTTTTTTTGAGTTTTGCATTCATATTTTATTGTAGTTTTCGTACATATTTTATTATTTTATTTTTCGTACATATTTTAGCCAACAAA